CCCCAGACTGCCACCACCCCGGTGCAGCCGCCGCCAGCGCTCGGCCTCTGTCCGCAGAGTATTACACTGTGTACATTGGAACCAGCAAACGCTTCGCTGTGATTTTTGGCCACTTGGAATATTTTTAGCAATTTGCCAAGGTTTACCCAGTGATTTATTATGGAGGAAACAAACTCAAGCACTAACAAATGAAAATATGTAAACTCAGACTTTTTCAAGTCAATAGAAAGGTATTCAACTTCTTACAGCCCTCCGGAGCCACGCAGCTCGCTCCACGTTCAATGGCTGGAGACTACAGTTTGATGAAGAAGCAACTGAAATGCAATCTAAGGAGTCTAATGCTGAAATCACTTGGAGATTTACACAGGAACATTCCACAGACACGACATTCTCCAGTTGTCATTCCTAAAACTGTCATCTAGGTTTGTCGGAAATTCAACAATTTATCAGAAATATATTTTGTATTGCTTTTTCGGTTAAAACCAAAGCACTCCCGAACTTTATTATCTTAAATGACTACATTTAATAACTTAAAACACAGTATCATGAAAAACTACCCAAAATAATTAAAAACATGGGAAAAAAAAGTCCTTTTAAAAGCTTAGGGCAGTGGAACTACCTGCAGATTAACAGTAGATACAGCAGATAATAATTGTTTTATTACAGTATTCTTGGGTGCAGAGGTAGGTGTCATTAAATAGAAAGTAAACTTCCACTTTCTGTATGAAAATTCAACTTGTGCTGCCACGTACCTCCAGAACCAAGGAGATAATGCTCTATGAAGTGTTAGCTGCCACCACAGCATTATCTCTAGCTAAAATGCTGAAGCAATACATGAATAAAATCAGAAGTGTTAGTTTTTTATTTTATATCATTGTTTCTTACGAGTTTTCTGAATGTGCCTGAAAACATCAGGAATGGGATCAAGAGTACAATAATTTAATCATTAAAACAAGGAAGACTATCAGTCATTAGAGTATGATTGGGTGTTAAGAACAATTCTATCTAAGCAGCAGAATAGTGGATGATGGTATTTCCTTCTCAACTCTTAGATTAATACAGAATTCACTTCATCTGTTCATCTCAACCCCCAATTGCTGCAGGATTTTCTCAGTACTTTAACCAATATTGCTCTGTTCCTGCAGCACAAGGTTCAGACTTTAAAAAAGAGATTGGTTTGTTGGAAGTTGAAAATGTTGGTTGTTCTGAGCAGACCATTTACAGTGCCTTCTCTCACTCTGCAGCTCTCATTTTCTCAAAGGCCAACTCCTCAGAGCCTTCCCAAGCCCCTACAGAAGGAATTGTGCAACATCCCTTCATCCCAGGGTGACACAGGGCTACCCCGTTCTCCACCTTTGTACCTGCTAAAAAATAAAAATTCATTCTCCACGGAGAAATGGTCAGAGCCTTTTGTCTGCAGTGTCAACAGAAGCTGTTTTATTAACAGAGCATTTCTCAGCCTGCTCGGTGAGCTGCACAGACTGCTGCCACCCTGCCTCCTCCCTTCTGTCACACCAAGAACATTGGGAAGAGCAGCTACCCAAGAAGCAGAGCTCTCTCTGATGATCACAGAAATCAAGAGGAGACAGAGAGCAATGCTGAACTCTCACCCACTGCAAGGCACAGGGTGAGGGTGTTGGTTGGGGTCCCTGCCATCGCCTGGACCCTGTCCTCACCCAACACACCTCGCCCCTTGGGCAAGAGACATCAAAAGTCACAGAATCACAGAATCTTCTAGGTTGGAAGGGACCTTAAAGATCATCTTGTCCAACCGTCAACCTAATTTTGACAAAAATAAACACTCACACAACAAACAAGGAGCATCATCACTAAACCAGACCTCCCAGCTCTACATCAACCCGGCTTTTGAACACCTCCAGGGATGGGGCCTCAACCACCTCCCTGGGCAGCCCAGTCCAGTGGCTGAGAACCCTTTCAGTGAAAAAAATTTTCCTAATATCCAGCCTGAACCTCCCCTGGCACAACTTGAGGCCATTTCCTCTTGTCCTGTCGCCTGTGACTTGAGAGAAGAGACCGACCCCCACCTCTCTACACCCTCCTTTCAGGGAGTTGGAGAGAGCAATAAGGTCTCCCCTCAGCCTCCTCTTCTCCAGGCTGAATAACCCCAGTTCCCTCAGCCTCTCCTCATAAGACTTATTCTCCAGACCCCTCACCAGCTTTGTGGCCCTTAAAAGTCCAAGTTGCAAGAGAAAGAACAAGCCCCAGTTGGCTGTAACTGCAGCCCTGAGCGTGATGCACGTCTGCCAGCACCAGGCCCCGGTACCTGCAAACCCTCTGCCTGGGCAGGACAAGGAAAATCCCTCTGGCGCCTGGTCCTGGGGCCAGAGAGCGTGGGGGGCAGGATGGTCACCACCCCGGGACTGTCACCATCCTCAGACTGTCACCACCCCCAGACTGCCACCACCCCTAGAGCAGCCGCCGCCAGCGCTCGGCCTCTGTCCGCAGAGTATTACACTGTGTACATTGGAACCAGCAAACGCTTCGCTGTGATTTTTGGCCACTTGGAATATTTTTAGCAATTTGCCAAGGTTTACCCAGTGATTTATTATGGAGGAAACAAACTCAAGCACTAACAAATGAAAATATGTAAACTCAGACTTTTTCAAGTCAATAGAAAGGTATTCAACTTCTTACAGCCCTCCGGAGCCACGCAGCTCGCTCCACGTTCAATGGCTGGAGCCTACAGTTTGATGAAGAAGCAACTGAAATGCAATCTAAGGAGTCTAATGCTGAAATCACTTGGAGATTTACACAGGAACATTCCACAGACACGACATTCTCCAGGTGTCATTCCTAAAACTGTCGTCTAGATTTGTCGGAAATTCAACAATTTATCAGAAATATATTTTGTATTGCTTTTTCGGTTAAAACCAAAGCACTCCCGAACTTTATTATCTTAAATTACTACATTTAATAACCTAAAAGACAGTATCATGAAAAACTACCCAAAATAATTAAAAACATGGGAAAAAAAATTCCTTTTAAAAGCTTAGGGCAGTGGAACTACCTGCAGATTAAGACTAGATACAGCAGATAATGATTGTTTTATTACAGTATTCTTGGGTGCAGAGGTAGGTGTCATTAAATAGAAGGTAAACTTCCACTTTCTGTATGAAAATTCAACTTGTGCTGCCACGTACCTCCAGAACCAAGGAGATAATGCTCTATGAAGTGTTAGCTGCCACCACAGCATTATCTCTAGCTAAAATGCTGAAGCAATACATGAATAAAATCAGAAGTGTTAGTTTTTTATTTTATATCATTGTTTCTTACGAGTTTTCTGAATGTGCCTGAAAACATCAGGAATGGGATCAAGAGTACAATAATTTAATCATTAAAACAAGGAAGACTATCAGTCATTAGAGTATGATTGGGTGTTAAGAACAATTCTATCTAAGCAGCAGAATAGTGGATGATGGTATTTCCTTCTCAACTCTTAGATTAATACAGAATTCACTTCATCTGTTCATCTCAACCCCCAATTTCCACTTTTGCCAGTATTAAGGCAGCACGAGAGCCCAGGAACCCTCTGCCTGGGTCTGCCCCACCAGGCCTTGGTTGGTGGGATGACATGGGGACACTGGTGCAGCTCCCTCATCCCTGCGGCCAAACAGCCACGATCCATCCCTCCCTCCACAAAACAAACGCCCTGCCCAATGACCAAACCCTGGGAGGTTTTTTTTCCCCACATTTGGACATGTCACTTGACATTCAAAATGCCATTATGCAAAGCCAACTAACTCCTCCAAAGTCTTTTTTTGGTTCAAGAAACCCAGCAGAGAGAACTTCACCAAGCAATTCTTTGTTAGCATAACATTTGACCTTGTATCTCTTTGGAAATCATACAACTTTGCTAATGCAATCCTTGCAGAATTAATCAAGCAGATAGTTAGCCCCTAGTTACTGTGAACCCAGCCAATTATGAGCAGCACTGAAATTTGTCACTGGCGTGTCCAGCTACATTTTCCAACAGAAAGATCAACAGAACTGGGTGGAAATGAGGCCCCACGCTCAGCCCTGACTTGGGCACCACAGACCTGAACCGCTGGCAACACACACTTTCAGGAACAAAGTATTCTTCAGAAAAAAGGCTCAGGTCCTGGGTCTGTTACCAGCTGCGTTACACCAGGAGAGCAGGACACCATCCACCCTGCATCTGAGCAGCAAAGCTGGAATAAAGGACTCCTTGAGAGCACAGAGCTCTTTACTGCAGCAGATCCACAGCTCAGAGCCCAAATCCACACAAAGGGAGATAAAATAATTCATATACATAAAGTAATTCATGCCCCACAAGCATGAAACCAACTGGAGCCTACTTCACCATGGACCTCACGACTCCCAGAGATCGCATCCTGGGCTGCATCAAAAGATGCGTTGCCAGCAGGTCCAGAGAGGGGATTCTGCCACTTTGCTCTGGTGAGACCTCACCTGGAGTATTGTGTGCAGGTCTGGAGCCCTCAATATAAGAAGGACATGGACCTGATGGAGAGGGTCCAGAGGAGGGCCACGAGGATGATCAGGGGGATGGAGCACCTCTGCTACGAGGACAGGCTGAGGGAGCTGGGGTTGTTCAGCCTGGAGAAGAGGAGGCTCCGGGGAGACCTAATAGCAGCCTTCCAGTACCTGAAGGGAGCCTGCAGGAAGGCTGGGGAGAGCCTGTTTAGAAAGGCCTGCAGTGACAGGACGAGGGGCAATGGCTTCAAGCTGGAGGGGAACAGATTTAGATTGGAGATGAGGAGAGGGTTCTTCACTGTGAGGGTGGTGGAGCACTGGAACAGGTTGCCCAGGGAGGTGGTTGAGGCCCCTTCCCTGGAGATATTCAAGGAGAGGCTCGACGAGGCCCTGGGCAACCTGGTCTAGTTGGGGGTGTCCCTGCTGACTGCGGGGGGGTGGGACTAGATGGCCTTTGGAGGTCCCTGCCAGCCTGGGCAATTCTATGATCCTATGATTCTATCCCCCAGGACAGGGACAACACTTACAGCTTTAGTAAAGACGACCATCAGCTCAGGGAACTGGTGCGTGAGGAGGGCGAGCATCGCCGAGAAGGAACACAGTCCCGCTGTGAAGTGGATGAAAAAGGGCAGCTCCTTCTGTGGGTAAACGGAGACTTCGTGAAATGCTGAAAGGGAAAAATAATGAAGAACGTTGGCATTGATAACTCAGGACAGTTTTCTGAATGATTTACACAGTCTGTTACTCAGTTCTAGACTTCCAGGAGGAGTAAGCACGGACTCAGACTATTGTGCAGCACCTCGGGTCCCAGCGCTTCAACTTCTCAAAAAATTCTCCCCTACATCAAATGCTTTTCTTCGTTATTAATAATTACATCTTTCTCTTCCCAGTCATCTTTTTCACTTGCACAGGCTTTATTTTTGAAGCATTTCATCAGGCTTAGTTTTTGGTACCCAGCAGGTTACAAAGCCACCACCCCCTTCTCTCTCCGTCCCGCTCCCCCAGGAGCTCTGGGCACTGGGCTGCAGGACGTTGTTGGGAGCAGCTGACAGAGCAGACCTCAAAGAAAACAGCACCGGGACTGGGTTATAAATTCTGTCTGTAGCAGCTCCTTGCAATTTCCAATCTGTGGTAACAAGACCCGAGGTGGGGGGTGGGACGGGCCAAGGGCTGGAGCTTTCAGCGCTGGGGACACTGCGGGCGGTTACTCACCCCAGGGCCCGGCTGGTGAACACACAATTACTTACTGGTGCCAAGTACCTGAAGCTCTGACTCTTACCCAATGATTTTAAAGGGGTTTTAAACAAAGAAACCAAAATAGTTTCTACAGACGTTAAGTCATTACGAAAGGGTTGCACACTTCTCCACAAGCTGCTTTTACAATCGAACAAAAGCACCGCAAATTAAGTTCTTTGGAAAACAAGAAATATGATTATATTCACTTTTACTGAATTTTTTCATCTTAAACTTGTACTTTTTGGCTTTTGATGAGCAGTGCACTGAAGCCTGAGGAGGAAAGAGACACTTCACCCTCTCGGGTACTGTGTCTGATGCTGGCACAAAGGGTGTTATCGCTGTGACAGCACGCCCAGCGGAGGCACCTTGTGCTCTTGGGACTTGTTAACAGTCACACTTCTCCACAAGCTGCTTTTACAATCGAACAAAAGCACCGCAAATTAAGTTCTTTGGAAAACAAGAAATATGATTATATTCACTTTTACTGAATTTTTTCATCTTAAACTTGTACTTTTTGGCTTTTGAACTGAAGCCTGAGGGGGAAAGAGACACTTCACCCTCTCAGTTACTGTGTCTGATGCTGGCACAAAGGAAGTTATCACTGTGACAGCACATCCAGCCGAGGCACCTTGTGCTCTTGGGACTCGTTAACAGCAAAGTGCTAGGGTTTTGTTTGGATTTTAGGTCTCTGACTTCGGAGCACAAGGAGGCAGACCTTTTGGAGTCCCGTGCCTAGCAGCCAGAAGAGATGCTCAATGTTATCCCTTAAATTCCCCACTTTCCCCCCCGTGCCCCCAGCCCTGCCCATTGCTACGCTCCCCGCTCCCTGCCACCGAACACCCTCAGCCCCTCACGCTGTGCAGAAACTCACCTGACTGTTAAAACATTGAACAATACAACTTTGGGAAGGTCTCAAAAGTATTAAAAAAAAAAAGGAACAATTCTTTTTACACTAGTTTTTCCTACACTGCGAAATTAAGATCAAACACAAAATAGCCAAGGACAACTACAGATAATTCTGTACGTTCCGAGCCATTTGGGAATTGTTACTCTTTAGAACATTACAGGATTTTTGAACCATTAATTTGGCCAACACTATTTTAAATAGATAAATTTTAAAGAATTAAGTGTCAAGATTTCTTGAGGAAGTACTGCAATAAAAGTGTTAAGATGATTTTATTTATGGGTAGTTTTATATTTAAAACATAACAGGAATGCGTGAGTGATCGTGTTGAAATATCTGCATGTGTTGGTGTTTAATTATGCTGGGAAGTCTACAATTTAGGGTTAGTTGCTAACCGAGGAATTCCTTGTGCAATATCCTGCATAAGTGAGAAATGAGTAATTTAAAGCAGTCTAGGGGAAAATTTAAATTACACACTTTAAATATAACTTCAGGCTTTTAAATAGAAACCCCTCTGCGTAGTTTTCCTTTCCACAGCTGTGGTCGCAGTGGGTCTGATGGGGTTTTTGCAGTAGCACTTTCCAGTCCCATGGGACTTGCATTTCTTCATGATGTAGAAGTTCCCCCCCAAAGGACTAACGTGCACAATTAACAGTCCAATTCTAACCTAAATTAATGCTATTTTCCCAAATATGATGAGCATGGGCCCAAGTGGCTTAGTTTGTTTGCCTTATCTAAAGAAAAAAAAAATACGTAGGCTCATAATTGCATAAAGTAATCTGAGCAGTTGGAGATAATTTACTTTTCAGCATCAAGTGTTAGTATAAATCCATAAAAACACCTACACGGATAAAAAGTTCCAGGAAGCACAGTGTCCAGCAGACAAATTAATGACAGAAAGCGATACACAATAGATTAACCAAGGATTCCCTGTAGGATCCACAGGTTCTGTGGGATACCCATCTGCAGGACTGGAACCACACATTTATTCCTCACCAAAAGGAAACAGCTTCTCTACAACAGCAGTCAAATCCATGGCTGCTTCTAAAAGGAGCAAAGAACTGGTCCATTTGCTGTTGTCAGAGCTGGCCAAACTTAGTCTGCACGTACCACACACAGACTTCATCTCTGAAGGGCTCCTGCTACTGCAGGATCCAGCAAAAGTTTTACCACACACACCCAGTGCTTTGGGAGCGTTTGGGAGGGACATCCAGGACCAGCTGAGCCCCCTCCGCAGGAAGCCCAAACTAAAATATCACAGGAAGGTAAACAGAGAATACCACAAACTGCACGTCCTTAGCTTGTGTTTGATTATCATCACTGCTTAGAAACCACTTACTTGGCAAGAGCTCTCTGTCTGCTGTTTCTGTGCAGCTCGGGTAGGGATAGAAGAGATGACCTTTCTCTAACGGGTACGGGATCATCCTAAATGCTGGAAAAAAGAGTGGGCGACATTAGATCTGTATCTAAACCAAGGACTGGCTTCTCACAGAGAGAACCAACGGTGTCTGGGGTGAAGAAAGGCAGAGATGAGGCTACTGTACAAAAAAAAAACCTAAACCAAGGAGATACTCACTGCCTTCCCAGGTACAGTGCAGCAGATTGAGAGCCCCTTCGATCCTCTTCCAGTGCTGGAGGTGGAAAAAGGCGTAGGCCACTGCCTCGCTGTCCCCTCGCTTCAGGATGTGCTCTGGAGGCAGCACCAAGCTTTTCATTTCTAGTAAATACTGAAAGCACAAACAAAAAGCACCCACGTTTATACAGACTACTCCAAAATCTGTAATTGTGAAACACAAATGAGCATTTGAGACATAACTCTTCAGTCACACAGAGGTCGATGCTGCTGTTCCACCTGCTGAAGGAAGAGCCCAGCCCAGAGCACACAGCCCACACTCCCAGGGGAAGTGGAACTCATCTGTGTGTAAGACTCTTAAATTGGGATTTTCCAACACAAAACATCAGGTAAAAAAGCACATCTTCATTTAGGCAAAAAAAAAAAAAATTCTTGTGGAATATACAGAAATATTTCTGCATGCTGCAGCTACAATATCAATGAGCTACAATTTTAGGCTAATAAAAAAAACCCACCATGATATTTTTGCTCATCGCTGAAAGTTTCGATGCAGGAGGCTCAGTATCCTGTGAGTGGTTATTGTTCAGAGAACTTAATTTGGCTTCAGAGATTTTAAATATCTAAATTTATATTTATTACTGCTTACCCTTCCCCAACAAAGGGTTCCCCTTTGTTAATACATTACTGGATTTCCTAATGAGTTAGAAAATTTTGAGTTTAATTTTTTTTAAAAAAACAGCAAAAACAGTTTAAACATCACCTATTGCAAACAACTAACTCTGGCCACCACTCTTACCACACAAATACCAGTGCGTTTAACAACTCAACAGCTGGAGCTACAAGCACCTTCAAGAAAACAGGGGGTGAGAAAGCCTCAAATAACAGATGGTAACATAACACAGCTTCTTTCAGAAGACAATAAAAAAAAAGTGGCCCAATAGGAAATAAACTACTCTCACCTTTGGAACATGAGGGTTGAACTCCACAGCTCTGTGAATCGCTTCCACAGCGTTAATCTCTGCTGTGCTGAGCCCTCGTTTGGAGGCAGTTTCTGGGGAGAACCTGGAGAGAAAACCCCTGTGAGCAAAAGGAACTAATAAACTCTAACCAGGTGTTTGTTTGCAGTGCGAGCTTGGAGTTCATTAAAAATTCACTGATTTGTCAAGAAAGATAAACAAACACTTCCAGAAGATAAATGTTCATGTTAATTTAGGTATCTTGACTGTCATCACACCCAAGTGACAAAGTTGTGTCACAGCATCACAGCATCACCTGGGGACAGCCCAGAGCCTGAGGGAAATGCCAACACCAACTACCACAAACATCCTGCCCACAAAACAAAGAACTGTTGACCATCCCCAAGCACGACACTGGAAACAAATTTTAGACAAAAGCACAAGTGCAAACACGACCTCCTGAAAAACATCCTCACCTGCATTAATTCTATGGATGCTTAAACAAAACTTTATGTTTAACTACACACACACATATATAAATACATTTCTAAGAGCAAGCTGAGTGTAACTGCTACATATTGGATTTAGATCTTTTTAGTTCATATTTTACAACATACCCCCAGACAAGCACCAAAGCCCTGGTTTCACCCAAGTCCATGCTTACCTCTCCGAAACAGCTCTGGCTTTTAAGAGGGCTGCCGTGTAACATATTGCTGCTGATTTTGGAAGACTGATATCTATGATAAAATAAAGTAATTAAGGTGTAAGATTCTAAGGCAAGACAAACATGTTAACATCCTTTGAGCTTAAAGATTTTTACCGGGGCAGACACTGAATGTAACACCTGGAACTTTTCAGTTATGATTAGAAACTGAATTTCTCTATATGGTCTTCTTTCCCCAGTCAGTCTCAGATTAAAAACACAGAGTTATAGGTAGGTGGTAAAGAGTAATTTTTTTCTTCTAAACATACCAAGACATTGAAATTGAATTCAAAGAATTCAAAGAGAAATACATGTATAAATACACACTTAAGAACAATGTATATACCAAGACATTGAAATTGAATTCAAAGAGAAATACACGTATAAATACACACTTGAGAACAATGTGTTTCTCCTTTATTAACTCACAAAGGTTTAAAATAAGCTTCTAATCTTTACCTAATTTCACAGTTTTTATTAACTCACAAAGGTTTAAAATAAGCTGCTAATCTTTACCTAATTTTGCAGCTGTACATGAACACAGTTTTACACAATACTGACAAGAAGCTGACCCCAAAAATTACAGTACAGACAGGTAGACAGATTCTAATGAAAATGCAGTTTCCATTCTGCTCCGGTTCCAGGGGGGGAAATTCTATTAGTTGTAGGTTTTGTAGAATATCTGAGGCCAAGTTCGAGCTGACAATTACAGATTAGAAGGTTAGCACTCCACAGTACAAGTTTACTTTAAAAGCAGACAAAGTCTGGGGTCTAATTCCCAAGTACCACGTTGTGTATAGTCAGATGGCTCTTGCTTTTTTTGTAAATCCCCCCCTGGGCTTGTCCATCACTTACCAGAGGCCTGGCTGTCCTGACAAGCCAAACACAGGGGCACTACACAGAGTCTGAAGCTTGGACTCATTTTTCCAGATTTTTTCCAGAAAAAAATAAAATAAATCAGCAACCGAGTCTGAAGCTTGGACTCATTTTTCCAGATGCTCAGAAAAAAATAAAATAAATCAGCAACACTTTCTTAAGAAAGTGTCGCAATTCCTGATGTTAACAGAAAGAAGCACCAGGAAAAGAGCAAATGGGTTTGTTAAATTATTAAGAAGGGTGAAGTCCCAGCAGCAGGCAGCCAGAGCTGCCAGCAACAGCAGGCAGAGGGTTTGGGTAAGAATGTCACACTTTCCATTCCCTGAAGCACCAAAGAAGAGAGACACAGGAGAGAACATCCCGAGCTCTCAATGGCAGGGAAGGATCGCCCCAAAACACTGCTTCTGTGTCCCTCCAGTCTGAACATGATTTAAGGGACAGTTTTGGCAGCAGCACTTTGTGCACTAACGCTGTGGGTGTTATCCAGGTGGCAAAACTCTGAGGACAGTAAGAAAGTAAGTATGTATTTTATTAACCTGTAGCAAGACTTGCACAACACCTGAAGTGAATTAGTTGAGATAGAAAGTGAAAGCAGACTACTGTGGCCCAAAGCTTGCCCACCACTGACCTCTGGCCAGCAGCACGCTCGCCCTTTGTTAATCTCTGGCCCACTCAGTCTTACAGAGCCATGAGGCCAAGCCTGGAAGATGACAGAAGGGAAAACGACCTTTTCCAGCTTATTTAAATCCATTACTTAGGGGGCTATGTGCTGACTGAAATAGGCTGATGCATTTAGGCATAACCAGGAATGTAGAAGAGATTAAAAAATTAAAATAACCCTTGAATTGAAGCGAAGTGAGGGCCAAGATTTCTTTACAGATTAGAAGTCATTTACAAACATAAGAAGTAATCTGTACACCATTTACCTTGCCTGAATTTGACCTCATCATTCAAAATAAAACCCCTTGACTTGCACTGTGTTGTCGATGAAGGGAATTAGTTGAGTAGCTGAGCCCAGGGGCAGCTTTTGGCCAGGCACACCCTGCCCTCCCATCTGTACCCCTGCCCACAAACACCTCCCAACACACCTCACTCACCATCGTACTTTGCCAACACCGCCTGGACGTCCGCGTACGCCTGTAGCTCCAGCAGGGCCTCCAGCAGGTTCTCATGAATATTCAGCATGCTGAGAAGTGGGAACTCTTTCATCAGCTGCAAATCAGGAAAGAGAAACACACTGAGCACATACAGAATAGCTTTGGCAAAGGTGAAAGAAAAATTATGAAGAAGTATAAATTCAGCTATTTTGACAAGTTAGTCATTGAGTCAAGCCTGAAGCAAACTGGACAATAGAACAGTAAGCACCTTCCATCAGAGAATATAAACATTTAAAGCCTCAATGTAGGAACAAAAAAAACTTGTTCTTAAAAAAATCATGATGTGCAAATCTCATTGGAAAAGAGTTCAACTGGATTCACCACAATGCCCAGAAAGGAACTTTAAACCATCAGTTCAGACAACGTGACTGCAAACAACAGGAGTCACTCACTTTTTTCTTCTACTTACATCTCTCATCATTTTTACTGCTTCTCGTATTCTTCCAAGCTTTCTTGCACACATAGCTAGTCTCCTTTTCACATAAACCAATACATTGGTGTCTCTTCCTGAATAAAAAGACAAAGATGTTAGTCTATCAGTTTCAATCCTTACCTTGCTCTCCCTCTCTCACCTCCCCTCCCACAAACGATGTTAGTCTATCAGTTTCAATCCTTACCTCGCTCTCCCTCTCTCATCTCCCCTCCCACAAAACCCACCACCTTTTTCCTAACCCCGTGTAAAAGCACAAAACAATCACTGCTGCTGGCCTGGCCATGGCCCATCAGCACCAACACCAGCAACTTCTCATGAGGTTAAACAACAAATATTCTGCTTCTATCCAAAACGCTGGGTGGACTAAAAGAAGGTGCTACTGACACCCACTGATTGCTTCATCAGCCTGCTCTGCCAATCCAGCCTTGCAAGGCAACGTCAGGGAGACAACCCACAATGGACACATTTGACATTTCTGCTCACACAAACCCAAGAGCTTCTTCAATCAAAAAGGGCTTACTCAGCTGTGCTTCGTGCTGGGGGCTTTGGGAATGGCAGTTCTGAGACCTGCGGTAAATCATTTCTCCTGCCTTCAGTGCCTGCTTGAAATACCTCTCAGCATCCACAATCGTCGTCGCTTCTTCCTCAGCCAGGAGCACGTAGGCAGTGGCACAACTGCAAGAAGGTAGAAAACCACTCATTATTCTGAGGGACAAAGTTGAGTATTCTCTAGTAAGTGTTAAAAGCGTTAAAAACGGGCAGTTTTCACTTATGTTTAATATCCAAGCACTGACAATGTGAAAGCACCAAAAGACTGACTTGATTTCAAATGGTGAGTGTCAAGAAAACAGAAACCTTTTCCATTTTACAGAAAAAGTGCGTATTTGGAGAAAGAAAGAATTGTAACAGCAAGTCAAATTATTTTCCTTGAAATATTAGAAATGTTCTGGTAATTGTCTGGAGAGATTTTCTTGCGTTTGGTTTGCTTTGCTTTTTTTAAACCAGGAGGCAGACATTTTACAAAAAAATAATGAGACCACGGAACAGAGTGGATCACAGAAGTGCGCAACATTCTTTGATTTGTGTTATAAGAATATTTTTAAATCCCTTACAGGAGTGGCAGCTGTGAACTCCAAATACAGTTATTACCACAACACCATCTCAAACACGTATGATCCCACAGCCAATTGAGACTGTTCAAGTCCAAGTACAATTTCTCATCTGTTATTGCTACTGATACAAAGATTTAATAAAATTTTTTTCCTAAGAAAAAGGGAAAATAGAAGCTATTCTTTACAGACCAGTTCAACACCTCAGTGCAGCTGAGCCCATCGTGTGCGACTCTCACAGCCCCAGAAGTCCCCCTTAAGCCAGTCAGAAAAGTAAATCACTAGAAGAAGACTCTGATGGTGGCTCCGTGTCCCCCACTGAACCTTCCCCAGCAGAAAGGCAGCAGCAGAACTTCAGCTCCAGACTCACTCGTTGTTCAGCTCCAACGCCTGATGCGCCGCCTTAATCCGGGCTTGTGGGTTCCTCTCCCGCCAGGCCTTCTGCATCACTGTGGGACAGGGAGAGGCAGGTGAGGGACAGGGACAGTGGCCGAGCACCCAGGGGACAACAGGGGCTGCTTGTGCCTCAACTCTAACACTCACTTCCACTCTGCAAATTCCTCTCGGCTGGAATTGTCACAGGGAAGAGTAAACAAGTCTTTTAATTTTAATGCGAGTTTCTACCACAAGCAGCAGAATCTCTCAACTTCTCATTACACCCCAAATTTAATTGAATTGAAGAAAGCAACAGCAGCAGGAGATGATTCACTCACTGACCATCCAAGAACTCCTGCGCTGAGAAGCAGAGACAGCTCAGACAAACGGGCAGACGGACAATTTGTAAATTGCTACAGATTTTTGGAAACATTTCCCAAGACCTGTTGAAAGCTTGGCAGGAGCAACTGTTAAACACAGGCCCTTGCACGGACCTGCACAGAATTTCAATTGAAGCTTTCAAACAGAACTTCAAAGAAAATAGCAACAGAAGAAGCTGCGCCTCGCACAGGTGTAGTTTCATACTTAAGCATTTAACAACTTCCAGATCATGAGGGGTTAAACAATTTCTTTTTAAATTTACAAATCACATTTGAGTGGCGTAACATGAAAGCCAATTCAAGATCATAGAACAGTTTGGGTTGGAAAGGACCTTAACAATCCTCTAGTTCCAGCTCCCTGTCCTGAGGTGTTACTATAGTAATTTATCACCTTATTAGAAAGTGTTCTAGGAAACAATTAAAAAGGCTGAAATCTGTCTATCCTTTGAATTACAACTTGAATTCAAAGTCACAGTCAGATGAGGAGCCAACGAGAGCTTTCACACTAAATACTGGTTCAGAAAGAACTCCAAACCCTTACGGTCACGGCGTTACATATCTGGCCTATCTCAAGCACGATAAGAAAGCTGAAGAATCCATCCATGTTTCTTTTGGAACTGAAACCTTCTGCTGTCCAGCAAGAATAACGTGGAAAAATGTTTGAGTTTTCTTTTGGAAACAAAATATTAGTCTTGGCTTAGGGAGTGAGACAATACACTCCATTCGTGAAATAAAAACATATCAAGCGTGTCACAGCCAGCTGACAAGTAACACTTCCGAAGCCTGACAGACTGACACTAGTTCACACCTCGCCTGATAATAACCAGGTAGGGAACATTTTCTGCACTAAACATGTGGAACAGAGTGAAAAAAATTCTGGAGGCCGCACTATTCATCACTAAGGTTGAAAGGAAACCACGTCCTTTAGCTGCTGAGAATACAATCCAGGTTTTCAATATTGTACTGTTAATTATTTGAGAAGTGTGAGACCTTAAAACGTGGCTGTCAGGATCCTGACAGCCCTGAAGGCAGCAGAGAAAGCTTAAGGTAAAAAAACCCCATCTTTTCACTACATACATCTATAAACCTCCTCAGCAGTAAGGAAAGGCTATCGTTTCACAAAATACTTGACAATACTTGACTTGTACTACCTCAAAATATATTAAAAATACCTGCTTTACACTCCCCAACAGTTCCACACCTCCTGGATATGAGAGTGGTACCTGTATCTGAAGGCCGAAGGGCATCTGTGTCACACGTAAAAAAGTTCTGATGATCCTGAGCAGACAAATTCATGTCGTAGTATGTAAGAGGCTCCTTCCCCGTCACCCACATGTACCTGTAACGGGAGACATTTCAGGAAGAGGCTCCCCTCATACCAAGGGGCAGATTTTATGTGCTACTGCAGAAAATTTTTACTAATACCAGACCGGAGCTACTAACCAGAAGTTCTCCATACTACTGCCCCACAACCTGCACAGGTTGCCAGAAGGCTTCTTGCAGAGGGTGAAAAAAAGTCTTGTTTGACCCTAAAGTTCTAAACACCTTGGGAACTGGCTTCCTAAAAAGCAGCTTTTCCTATGAAATAGCAGAAGGAGACTTACAACACTGCTACACCAGTTTAATAAAAGAGAATTTAGATTCAGAATCACTGTCTCAAGCTCCGAATAAAGCACTAACAGCTGGAAGATCATTACTTTCATAGTTTTTGAAAGGAGGAGGAAAGTCATTCTGGGAATATTTTTCTCCTATTTTACTCTCCAAAGCCAGATGATGTTACAGTAATATTTGCATTCTTAACATCGAAACTGCCAAAGCTTGGACAGGTGCTTTCTAAACATAAGACTGGCATCAATCACCCTTATAATCTTGCAAATCTCAGCTTATTACATATCACTAGAGCCAGCTCCGCAAAGAAGTCACGTGTACGCTCCTGATTCATTTTAAAAAAATATGCAATGGCAAGTAAAACAACGCCTACCTGCTATACTCTGCCCCTCTGAAAAGGTTGAGAGGATTTCGCCACACTTTGCACTCTGAAAAGAAAAAAAAAAAAGTACTTTTTGAATTAAGAGCCCGAGAAATACTACCTTGACTTTAAAATGCAGTAATGCAAATGCAATTTAATTTCAAAAGCTACTTTAATGTTATTTTTATACAACCTGACCACAATCATATGATCTTCTTATCCCTTAGCTTCTGCTATCCCACCCAAACCATTCTGCTTAATGTTATTTTTATACAACCTGACCACAACCATATGATCTTCTTATTCCTTAGCTTCTGTTATCCCACCCAAACCATTCTGAAATTCCATATATTTTCTAAAAGATGCTTTAAATAATGAATGATTTAGAGCAAAGATACATTATTACTTATTTTATTAAAAACCTACATTGTAAGATGTAGGCGTTTCTCCACAAAGATACATTATTACTTATTTTATTAAAACCCACATTGTAAGATGTAGGCGTTACTCCAAGCACTACTGTAGAGTCAAAGCCATTTAAAAAAGCCAGCTCATGTGAACCAGTTGCCCCTGGAAGCTCAGGGAAAACTCCAGGGAAACGTTAGGGATCACCTGGCATATTTTGCCGGCTCGTCTCGCTCTCTCCCGCCGAGAACGCGGCTGGTGCTGGGGGGCTGCTCTCCACACCGCCGATGAGGGGCCTCAGGTGACTCACAGAGACCTGCTCAATGAAAGACGTGCCATATTTTCGGAAATACCACCACTCGAACACCTGTCACGGGAGAGAAAAGCACCAGAAATCTCCTCAGGCAACAGCCTTCCAACGTAAACATCAAGCGATGAAGAGCCAGCTGTTTACAGCCAGGACATGCCCTTCCTAATGACTTTAAGGTGGAACTTATCACTTATCCACATAGAAATCAACACTCATTATGTTTTGGCCTGTCTTGCCTTGCAGGATCACCCACATAACATGAAAGACTGGGAAAAAACCAGTATAATTTTAGTCAAACATGTTCCTTCCTCCCCAAATCCCTGGGATAACCTGTAAGCCCTTTCAGGAAGCGCCTGTGCGAGGAAACTGTGCATAGAGGCAAGAGCTGCAAGATGGGTGTAGTTTTTTCATTTCACAACAATAATCTAGAAGAATAAAGCAGAAAAAAGGCAGTTTTGCCAGTCAGAAAAGCCCAAAAAGAGAAGGGTGAGTTACCAGCAATCAGGCTCACTTCCCAGAAATGTTATGTCAGAAGCATTACCCTCTCTCTTCGCGGCTACTAAGAGCGCCCGCAGACCCCAGTCCCCCCAGCACCCCTTGTGCTGCCCACCCCCAATTAGCTCCTCTGGGCATTGCCATTGGCACACAGAAAGAACTAATGCTTAGACAAACTGCATCCTTTGTTAAGAAGCACTACTATAAAAATTGGCTGACCAATAACCACTATTTTCCTTGAGAGCAAACCCACGTAAAAGACCCAAGCAGAATCCATCTCCTTACATGACCCTCCCCAAATTCTTCCATCAAAACCCAGGCAACGTTATTTACTGCAAACAAGTTGTTTCTGACACATTAAAAGGTTTATTTGGTTTTTTTAAGTCATCATCATTATTTTATCATTATTTTAATAATCATCTAAGAAAGGTTTTGCAATTTTGTACATGCTGGTAAATAGTTTTAATTGATAAGAAAAGACATATACTTCAGCTTTTAATAATGAAAATAAAGATTTGCATGCAGAGTCACCATCTCCATCCACGTGGACACACACCACCTTAAAACAGTTTCTAAACCAGGTACAAGTTATTTGCACAGACTCACCCCAATGTGCAACACACACAGCAAAAGAAAACATATAATACATTGGGAAAGCATCTCAGGAACAAGTTCCTTCCTGGTACAAAGGCACCCTCTAGAGTCTGACCAAAAAACCAGCCGACAGCATTTACCCCTAACAAAGCATCCTAGAGGTGCTACAGTTGTTTAAAGAATAATAAAAGTGGACTACTTACAAATATCAGTCCAGATATAAAAGACGACGTCACTGTAAGGGCAAAGTAGAACTTTGGAGTCAAGGTGCTTAAGAACGTGGTCACTGTCAGGAGAAACAAAACCAAAGACTTAACAAGCAGAACTGGAAAACACAAATAACTTCTAACCAAATGAAATATTATGCAAAGATGTAATACAATATAAGCCTAGTAACTTTAAAGATGTTACTTTGCTAGAGAACCTTTCCCATATATTTTCTGTTTGTAACCATCTGTGGCAGTGAATTAGGCTATATACCCGATCTAAAAAACTCAGTGTGAGTTCTCAGCCAAAGCAGCCCATGGTTTCGACTGCATCCCAGCTGGTGGGCAGAAACAAGCCCATCTGATGTGTCAGTTCATATTTATCTAAAGCAGAAACAAGCTGTTTCGATGCAGGTTTGTGTTCGGTGCTAAGAACCCCATTTCACCACAGACCTCTCCATCCCAGCATTTACAGCACAGGGAATGCAGATTTTTAGCTCCATCCTGACAGTGGTTTTGACCCAAACCGCACACCAGCTTTGTCACCCGCCACCGGCCCGGAGGGACCCCGAGGGTCACTGGCGGCCGAGGGCAGCCGGGCCGGGGGGAGGCCAAGGCGGCTCAGCCCCGGTCCAGGCCTCCCGCCGGGCAAGGGACGGCCAGGGCGGGGAGCGGGGGCTGCGGGGACACGGGGCAGGGTCGGCACAATCCGCCTCCCACCCTTCCGGCGGCCCCGGACACCGGAGCGGCCCCAGACGCGGCTGCGGCAGCACAGCGGGACCCCCGGGGCCGAGTAGACACGCTCGGTGTGTCACCGCGGGCGGCCCGGGACCCAAGACCGGCCCTGCCCGGCCGTACCGGCTGCCCCACAGCCCTCCACCGGGCCCGACGGGG